TAAGTAGTATAGATATAGACAAATTACCAAAAACATTCCTAAAAAAAACCAATAAAGTCTCTTATTTGATAAATAATAAAAAAAAACCCAATAAAGTCTTAATTACAAGACAATATTAAATAAATACACAAAATCCTAATATCAATTCCATGCATATCCAATTTTGTTTTGATACCATCAATTCTCTCCCACGAGGAAAATCTCTTCATCGAAGAGTTGTAATAGCAGAAGCAGTCCAATAAAATGAGGCAGGCTAGCCAAGTACGTCCTCAAACTTGATGGCATCAAACAAGCTCTGTCTCAAAATGAGATAACAACTAGTATAACCGTGGAAGAAAATTATATCTCGAACCTCTCTGTCTTCCCACTCTAGTCCACAGAGAATGACAAAGATGAGAGAAACATATGAACAAGTTGAAGAGAAATAGCAACTCCCTTAGTAGAACCTCCATGCAAAACTCCATTTTTGGAAACTCTATTCAACGTTGCATCATTGGTAACAAGAACATGCGACAATTTCAGAAAAATTACCAGCTCAAAGACATCAGACAGTCTTGGACCTTACTCAATTGGACTGGAGCATGTGGTAGAGGGAAGTCTTCAACCACTTGTTAATTGCCAGCCAAAGTGAAGAAACTAATACCTTCCTTTGGCCTAATTCCAACTATAGCAGCCAATGTGTTTTTACTTCCTGCTAGCGGGATTACCAAAGTTTCTTTTAGCACATCTCCTAATGTTCTTAGTGAAGTTAGCCTACGCATATCTGCTTAAAATTTGGGACCAATCTGTTATTTTTCTAGAAGTTATGGCACAGATTCAGTGATTTAGAGAACTTTTGGGGTAATTAGGCATTTTTGAAAAGATTGGGGATAGATGCAATTTGGGAAAATTCTCGAGCTTTCATGTACTTTCAAAAGTTCAGGAGTAGATCTACACTTATTAGAAAGTTGGGTTGGTTGGTTATGTTCGCCGGGAAGGGCTTTTTTGTTTTCTTGGATTGGGTATTGTTGGGTTTGGTTATTTTTTCGATAAGAGACAACATATTATTGACAAAAAAAAAAATCCAAGTGTGGACAGGAAGTCCAACACAGGAATGGCCAATAAAAACATAAAAAGAAAAAAGAATCAAAACAACTAGCCGCAAGATGCTTTCCAGCTTGTTCTAATAAAAAATAAAGGAATATCTTGAAAGTCCTTAGACATTGAGCCCACAAAAAGAGAACAAAAAACGAATCATTTTCCAAAACCCCTCAAAATCTTCACATTTATTCTCAAAAATGCTCACATTCCTTTCTTTATAAATCACCCATAATGTAGCAAATAAAGCACTATGCCAAATGGTCTTCCATTTCGTATTTCCCCCCACCCCCACATCATCCAAACATAACATAAATTTCATATCCTTGGAGCAACCCAAGCAAAACCCATATGGTCAAAAAGCTTGTTCCATAATGCTCACGCCAAAGGACAAGGTTAGGTTAAGGCTTTAGGTTAGGTCAAATATGGATATTGGATCAAGGTTTTTAATACCCAGAATCAGGCTATAACAAAATAGGGCCGAGCAATGTTATAACCAGAATTAGAATCACATTTTGTTGTCCTACTTCAGCCTAAAATAATTAGTATAACACCCCAACACCATAACTTTCAAAGGAAACAAAAAGTGGTCCCAAACAACAGTGTTGCTCAACTGTAAGGGGCCCGACAAGGTTGAAAGTGAGTGATTAATAATGCAAACTTCAAAAAGCGACATAAGTTACTGGTGATGGTAAATACAAAATCAATATGATGAGGAGCGATGACGACAGTGACAGCTTTATAGAACAGAGATAATGATGATGAAACGAGACTGCTGTGATTTCGAGGTCTACAACTGGCCTTGCTCCGAACCTCCTGTGATGTGGACAATGAAGTTTAGTTGTACTAAAGATAATTAAAATGATAGATTTTGTTTAAAGGCCTGACATGTTCGTAATTAATTGTAAACGAAGGCTGTTGACAATGAAGGCTTTTGTCTGGCAGTCAAGTTGAAGCAACAGATCGAAGAACAAGAAGCAAATTGAAAACCAGAAAATGAGAGACATAGCAAGAGACAACAATGGGTTGAAGGTTTACTCTTTAGCAATTGGTGCAGAACTGGGACAGAAGAAGAAGAGCTAAAAACAGGACAAGAAGAGAATGAAGAGGTTTACCAACCCGTCGCCAAGATTAGGTCTAGAAAAACACAATTCTCCATTGAGAATAACTAATCAAATTCTCAATAAAATTCACTCTCCCATAAAAAACTAGAGTTACATCAATCTTTATAGGTAAGTCTCCCAATACACGTAAATTATTTTCCCAGCAAAACTAAAGCAAAAACACTCCTAGGTAAATAAAAACTCCCTACCTAAATAATTCAACAAAAAAAATCCTAACAAAGTCGTAATTATGAAATAATGTTAGAATAAATAAATAAAATCCCAATCTTCAATCCCATTCTTGTCCAATTCCTTTCAATTCCCATCACCATCCTTTGCAAGCTTGACTTGATTTGGCAACATGTAGAATAAAAAAATTCTTCTGCAAAATTTTGGACACATGGGCCGTATCCAACACATCTAGTAGTGTGAAATAATTGTCACATCCCAAAAGGTGGCAGAAGTGGATATGGCCCATCAGATGAAGTGTCCATGTTTTGTAGCCCGCCCTCCAGCATCAAGGTAGGTCGAACACAAGGCCCCTGCTCATGTAAAAGATTCCCCGAGAAGTCATCCACATCGCCCTGTCCTGTTCATGTTTTTAGGGGTTTTCTTCTTTGGTTTTCTGTGTGGATGCATTGGGAGCTTTTTTCCACCCTAAACCAGCCCAAGATATGCCAAGAACAGAATGGACAGGAAACTCAAAAACTTCAATTAACCTCCTAAACACTTTTAGAACCAAAACAAGCTGAGAAGAGATAGGGGATCACCTAGTCTAAGATCTCTAAAACTGTTAATATGCTACATGTGACACAATAGATAAGCTTGAAAAACAAGCTGATCAAATAACATGTGCTCTTCCCACTTTCTCCAAAACCAATCCTTCCAAAGAAGCAGTTCCGGAACTCCAATTAACATTATTGTAGGCCTTATCAGCAACAAACTTGCCAAAAAAGGAAAAGGAAAAAGACGCTCCTAAGCTTTGAATCTAGTCATCATATGCAATAAGCACTATGTGCAGAATCATGTCTCTGAAGAAGCATATTGAGAACAAGACCCACCCTCGTACAATACCACGGCCTGAAAGAATAATCTAAACGGCAGTTAGCCATCTTGAATAACCTTGTAATCAGCAGTTAGCCGCCAAAACATCCATTATCCATCACTTCCCCTCCATTAGCAGCCACACAATAGCATTTGTAATCAAGCCTATCAAAGAGAACTTCCCCAAAAATTACATGCGGGAAATTCAGAAGTCCTTTCACACCACATTGAGGTAGTCATGGAAGAATGTCAAATGTGGTTCATCCAGGCAAAGAGCTCTGTCCCAATATAAACATGTCAACACCTCAACTATTTATTCCTCAAAGGCTCACTAAGAACTTGTATCCTGGATGTTAAGTGGACTGATGCAACACACTACACACTCCTAGTTCTCAAAGTGTCCATCCCTTTCCAAATGCCATCCTAAGTCTCCTCCAACTACCATCGATTGTGAACTAGCATGGAAAGTCAATCATTCTAAAGGCATTTGCAAGTTTGCAAAGAACACAAAAAATATCACTTTGACCCACTTCCTTTAGCCATAAAGTCCACAACTTTCGTCCCCAACAATCTGTTGTAACTCATAGCCTCACAACTTCCTTCATGAGTTGCACTTTCTTACTCATTTCCTACTAAAACCCAAATTTGTAAATCCTTCTTTGTCACCTAAACACCCTAACCCTCCACCTCCAAAACCTTGGTTAGCACATCTATCAAAAATCAATTTTATTGAATATTCAAGAACGCTAACTGTGCCACAGAAATCTAAAGCTTCTGACTAGTACAAGGGCATATTAAAATGCTTAAAAGATATTAACATCTCGCTAAGCCATAAATGCCCCGATTCAGGGTTTGATTATGTTGCAGATTGGACTGATATAGTTGTAACTTATCATCAGTGTGCGTCCATTTGGTGAATTACCATAATGGTTTGACAGTAACAAGTGAATCAGCTGCTATTATGAGAATTAGTTGAGGATATTTTGAGGGAAAAAACATAATCTGCTACAGTAACCAAGAAAAAAACATCCCTGCCAGCTTAAGGCTATAAGCCTCCTACAACTGTTTTGAACAAGCACTACAAAACACTCCAAAATTAGGATTTCAACCTCATACAGTACAGGCCGACTTGAGTTCTACAAACAAACCTCAGCTAATTCTTTTGCCACCTTTTTTTTTTTTATCTTAATTGTTCGGGTTGCAGAAGAAGCTTCCTCTTCCACAGCCTCTTACAAGTTACAATCAAGAAAACAGGTATGTTCCTGAAAGGCCGCAAAAGTATAGTGTTGGCCTTAGAAAAATAACAAACAAAAGATAATCTTTGTTCTACCCATTTTTATAAACCAAAAACCGAGTTTACCTACAAACAGCCAAAGTTTAATTTTTAGTTATTGAAGTCTTTTGTTACAGATGACTGATGTGGCAAAACAGATTAAACTACTTGTTTTGGATTTCTATTGAAAAACCACTTTTAATGTTTATTTCTATTGAAAATATAACCACCTTCCTTCAATGGAATTCTTTGCAAACAAAACTCTCACTGGAAAAACTCCAACTGCTTAGTGTACAGTTATTGTACAAAGTGTGAGATGGAATGAGCATTGAAAATTGGAGTAAACAAAAGTCTGACTAATTTTTCAGATAATAAATGCAATCAACATTCAACATCAATTAAAATGTCCAAGTATAAAATCAAAGTTTTAATGAAATATTGGTAGGAACAGTAAAGAGGGAGCATAATGACATGAAGCAAACTATATATTCAAAGAGAAAAACCTTACATTTCGAGTTTTAACGAGCACAGAAATCGTATTCTTGTTCAGCTTTCCGCTTATTGCTCTTTCCAAAACCAAAGACAAATGTGAACAGAACACCACAGTCAGAAAAAAAGAGGTGAGTACTGATTGCAGAAAAGAAAAATAAACTCTTTGGCAATTATTAAGTAAATCAAAGAACACTAAAAAGTGGGGTTATTAACAACAAACCTCAAAAAGGATATGTAGAAAGACAATAGCTCTTCATTGCGGAAGTCAAAGGAATAAGTTATAAAATAATTAATATGTTCATTACTGAACATGTAATCTGTGAAATTGCCAAAAGAGAATTTATATCAAACAAGCCAATCAGACAAAATTTAATGCTCAAAAAGGGCGTTCTTGTTATAAACAACATACATATAGAGTGTTCACTTTTTAGGTTTTGGATCATAATGCTCATTGTCTGCAATAACTGAAGTGAAACAATACTAGTTCTACTAATTTTCAGTATACGCACAAACTCCCCCATGACCTGTTTCTCCATAAAAAACCTGCAGAAAAGCCATAATGCTGTAAAATTGTTTAATTAAATGTGCATATGTATCAAAGAACAAAAGGACTTGAAAAACCGTATGAAAAAAATAAATGGAAAATAGAAGAAACTAAATTTGCATATAAGAACAAAAAAGGTTGAGAAGCCGCACTCGAAAAAGGCTGTATCATGTTGGTCACCATATGTTATCAATTCTGCTATTGATCTCAGTGCCTCAATCACAAAATCCTTCATGATATAACACAAAGTAGAAAAATTGAACACACTATAAACCAATTGCATTTAATACATCAAGAAGAAGAAGAAGGACGAGGAGGAAGAGGAAGAGGAGGAGAAGAATAAGATATATGTTACCTTGTTAACATCATTAACTATTTGAACCTTCATTATCTGATCGGTTAGATATCTGCACCGAAAAACAATAGTTGATATCAAAACTATGAAGGGTGGAAAATCTAAAATGCAAAAAGTTCAAAGGATCTGTTCAATCTGCCGCTCGCAGTCAAACAAAACACATGAGTGGTGGGTTTCTGTCTGCTGCAACTCTAGGCAGTATGGACTGTGCCTAAAGATTCCATCAACGAACAGAGAATACACAATTAAAGGCATAAGAACAGTGATGTACCCTTTGCAAAAGAAAATAACTCCCAGCTTAGTGCCAATAATTGAGATACAGTGAAGAACGCTATTGTAATAAAGAAATTTAAAATGGCAATGATCAACAATTCAACATTCAAACACACAACAAAACCTCTAGTCTCAACCCACCAAAAAGAATTATGCAATCTAGTGATAATATCTAGCTGCATAATTACAAAAATGGCTACATTATCACAGCTTAAAAGTATGACCTCAATACCACTCAGATCAAAGGTCTCCCATTTAATAGGACAAAATAAGAGAAACCACCAAACTCCTAGTATGACCATGAATAATACACTTCTTATAGTTAGCCCACTTAATTCGAATGCTAGAAGTTCTCTGATTCTCAAAAAGTAGAACGAGTTCCATACCAAGGGGCAGCACAACACACCAAGTTTCACATCAAAAATTAATTGCAGTGTTTATACTAAACTAAAGAGATATTTATGTACAACATAGAGAATGAAGGCTGAGAAGCATCAGGACAATGGGGATGCTTAACCAGTAACAAAGTATTATGAAGAACAAGTCTACATTCTGCACTACGCCTTAATCATTCTTCCCAAGCCTTGAACCCTTTGAAAGGATAAAATCGTAGCAATAGCTCAACGTAAATCCCAATCTTATGGCAGTTTGGTTCTAAAATCTGCATGCAAATGACTCCTAGAAATCTGAAAGACTCGTAATATCATTAAAAAGGAATGCACTTTCTCTGTCTCCCAATTGTTGGGACATCCAACCCAAAACCAATAGGAAATAGTTTGATGGACGCCTTAAGTATATAAACCAACATTGGGTGTACCTAATCTTTCAGCATGGGATCCAAGCTCCAATCTCACCCTCCTCCTAGACGATCCTGGCTTGCACATGGGCAAGAAATCGTGCATAAACAAGGAAACAAACTAAAGAAAACAAATGGGTGAGACCTGACCCACTAACTAAACAAAGAGACAAACATACTAAGAAAATCAAATGGGCATGAGAATTGGCCCACCAAATGTGCAACGCTATTACTAAGTCAAAGCATCCAACTCAAAATCAATTGGCAAGGGATGAAGTTGCCCCTCAAGTACAAATCATGTACTTAAACCAATTTCCTCTTCATGAGACTTGATCCACCAAATGTGCAACGCTATTACTAAGTCAAAGCATTCAACTCAAAATCAATTGACAATGAGTGAAGTTGCCCTCAAGTATCAACCATGTACTTAAACCAATTTCCTCTTCAGATGCGCAACACAACAAACACCCCCTATCCAACCATGTACTTAGACAAATAACAACTACATTCAACGTATATTTTATGGACAACATATCGCTCCCATATAGTAGATTCTCAATTGGCAGCCAAGCGGAGGCCTAATGCTTGGACAGACTGCTCATCTAGAGGGGATTAGAATCTAGTATAGACTATCAACTGCCCAATGGGATAAATAAACCTTCAACTTATCGCAAGCCTAAAATTTACTTCAGCAATCTGTAAAGGGGTCTCTAAAGGTTGTTAGGAAAATTTATAACTCGTGGATAAAAAAGGGGGGAAAGAATTATTATCCACTTTGGTCCCCGTTACCCAAGGTTAAAAAAGGGATCTGTTGAGTACAAATCTAACCTTTTGTCATTATTTTTACAACATAACTACTGTCAAGCGATCCCATGGCCTCTAGCATCTGGCTACTTGGCCATCCAATCCCCCTTGAATTTTAAACTACAACGAAACCAACTTACAAAAATACAGCAAAACCAACAGACAAAAATACGTAATTGACTTTTCTTTGCGCTTTGAATTTCATCGCTGATTTGACTTTACACATCTAAGTTTCACTTCACAGCAAACTTACACCTAATTAACCCCAAATTGTCACATTAATTAACACCAATTGGTGAAATTTACCCTAAAAAGCTTTTTCCGGAAAGTAAATTTGTCCTAAAAAGTTATTAAATGGAAAGAAAAAAAAAAAAAAAAAGGAGTTACCTGAGTTCGTCCAAAGAGAATCGATCTCTGGATCTCCAGAACGGGAACCACATGATTTCCGTACCATCGATCGCAGCCAAGCCCCACGATGCTTAAATTATCCGGTATCTCATTACAACGATTCTACTGGCGGTCACGCAGGTGATCGCGTCCCAAACCAAAACTTCTTTTAGGGTTTCTTGTGAGAGACGATAATCCGGCGAAGTAAGGGATCAGTTGAATTGGGGGCGGTGACGTCGGGAAATATAAAGAAGACATAAAGGCTTTTAAATTTTAGGATTAATTACAAATTGTACCTCAAAAGATAGCTTGAATTTTAATTTATACTTTTAAAAATTAAAATTTTTAATTTATGTCCTTAAACATATAAATTTATGTCAATGCGCAGCTAATGTTAGAGATGTTAACAGCTATTAGTTTATCGTTTAAAATTAGTCAGCTAAGTTATACCTAAATCTCTAAAGTTTGTCATTTAATCATTTGAATCCCTATACATTTATTTAGAATATTATTTCTATATCTTCTGATGTTTATACACATGTAACACATAATTCTTTGTCCTTAATATCTATTAATATAATCGTTTATTTATTTTTTTTGTCAGAATTAATATAACCATTAAAATATATGATTTAATCATAATAAAAATTTATAATTTTATATTATCTTTTATTTTATAGGGCCTTATACTTTAAAGTTCAAAATCTAGCTTACCATTTGAATGTCCAATAATAATACATATATTTATATAATATTTTTTTATATCCAATGCAACACATCACTTTAACATAATTATTTTGATGCCTAATTGAGAAAATATCTTTAGTCTTAGATTTTCAAAGGATATATATGTAATATTTTAAATATAAGGGATTTAAGTAATTAAGTGACAAATATAAGGAGTCTAGGTGTTAACAAGATTTCTATTTTTAAGGGTATAAATTAAGATTTTTGAACTTGAGGATAAAAATTAAAATTCACACGATTTTCAGGTGTAATTTGTGATTAACCCTAAATTTTAACATTTTTCCGGAAGGATTTTAATACCGGGTCGGATCTTATCCCGGGTAATCAATGGTAAAAGGTTAAGACTCTAAATCACAGCCTATGCCCAACCCAAATAGGGCTATCGAACTGTGGACTGGTTAATTGCTAGTGAATAGGCTAGGTTGGCTCGATCCAAGCTAAAATTGGCCCACGGCCTGCTCAAAAGGTTACTTACCAATGCGGACTTTTAGCAACCCAGCGCACCAATCGCGCTTATCATTTTTCTGATTTAAGTAATTAAGTGACAAATATAAGGAGTCTAGGTGTTAACAAGATTTCTATTTTTAAGGGTATAAATTAAGATTTTTGAACTTGAGGATAAAAATTAAAATTCACACGATTTTCAGGTGTAATTTGTGATTAACCCTAAATTTTAACATTTTTCCGGAAGGATTTTAATACCGGGTCGGATCTTATCCCGGGTAATCAATGGTAAAAGGTTAAGACTCTAAATCACAGCCTATGCCCAACCCAAATAGGGCTATCGAACTGTGGACTGGTTAATTGCTAGTGAATAGGCTAGGTTGGCTCGATCCAAGCTAAAATTGGCCCACGGCCTGCTCAAAAGGTTACTTACCAATGCGGACCTTTAGCAACCCAGCGCACCAATCGCGCTTATCATTTTTCTTTTATTTTTTACTATAAAATCATTATTGTTAATATAATATCCAGGCAATAGAGGTTGATCCGATTGTCTTATCTTTAGCTTGATCACAAAATTGTCAACACCGGCAATTCAAATCCATACTTCTTTCTCTCATTCTTTATTTTACATTTTTAGGCTTTCTCAAGGTTATAAATACATTAAAATATGCTTAAATATATAAACATTAGAAATCCTGTAAACACGTGCAATACTCGATATTTTTGCATTATTATAATTAGACCACTAAAACTTTTTCTCCTGAAAAATAATTTTAATTTTCAACCCTCAAAGTTAAAAAAATCTTACATTTGCACACATGTGTCATTATATAGTAACAATATGATCCAAGAACTAACCAATAGTGAGAATTAGTAATTAGTTTGTCACGATCTGCAAAGGCGGCTAATCAACAAATAGATCAACCTATACGATTTTTTATGCAGAATAGATTTTTTTTTGCTTGTAATTGATTTTTTTTTATTATAACACAATAAATACATTTAAATCATTCTATCAAGCATCTTTGTCCGCTTCTTAACATAACCGGCCTATTTTTGCCATTCATGAAGTTCAGAAACTTGTCATAGGAAACACATTTGATAAAATTAGTGTAATAATGTTATCAGTCTAAGATCAAAAAATTGGTGAGGATCTAAGTTAACAGTAGGAGTGTTAACCCTATCTTAGGGTTATAAATTATGGTATTTCATCTTCTTACTCGATACTATCCGATTAAGTGTATTATTCTTACCCGAATTTCATCAAAAACAATCGGGTAGAAAATCAGGTGAGTACATATTTTTTAATTATTAATTTTTGAATTATTTTAACAATTTAATTAAATAACCTAAATCAATTAACTAACGCAATAAACTAATGTATTAAAAAAAAACACAATGAATTCAATAATACATAAACAATTATAATAAAACATAACAAAAAAGTTATAAACATCAATACATCATATATAAAAAAGCCTTAAACATCAATAAAATATTAGAGTTTCTAGATTATTGGATTTTAACTTTTAGAAATTAACACACACGCACACATATAGGGTAGGGTAGGAATACACAAATTTTGTAGGTATTCTGTATTCTTACTCGATTTTTTGTGAAATATCAAAAGATTTTTCATTGGTTTATCTGATTCTTTCGGGTAACCGATCAGTAAGATCAAGTAGGATAAGGTAAAATAAGGAAAGATAGGATCGAATAGAAATTTGTGAATAATTAAAAATTTAAACAACCCTAATTAATAGCAACAACAACAAAAAAAAATGCCTAAAATCTTGTGAGGCAAATTAGTTGTTAAACCTTACAGGTGGGACCCATAATGCGTCATGTATTATTGCATCAAAGACATAAAAGACTATTTTGTGCAATCTTCCCACATGAAAAGATGGCCAAACGGTCCAGAACAAGAGAAACACTTACCCCACATGGTGCGTCTGCCAGGACAATTATATCGGGGGTGGCCCGAGATATTTTAGACGTAAAGTAAAAACGAAAAATGAAATTTTTTTATTTTTAATATTAATAATTAATTTAATTTTTATTTTTTTAAAATATAAAAATATTAATAAAATTTTTATATTCAAGTTTTTGTTATCATAAGAGAGAGAAAGAATGATTGAAAAATTATGATAGTAATTTTAAACTTGACTTTTTTGGGGGGGGTTAAAACTAAATTGTTTAGTAGTTTTATTTTTTCAGTTAATTTTTTTTTATTTTAAAAAATAAATTTTAGAGCTTTTTAATATTATTGTTGAATTAATATTCTCAATCTACTTAAATTGAAATCTTTTTTTTGGATGTAGATTTAAATTTTTTATTTGGATTATTAATGCACACCTATAAATTATAGAATTTTTCTTAAAGTAAGGCCTTAAATTTTTTTTTATTGGACTTGTGTTTTCACAAAACCTTTTTGTAGGGTTTAAATATTTATGAATTTAATTTTTATACATGAATTACGTATGATATCTAAAAATTTAAGGCATTCTTTAAAAATGGTGTCTAAAACCTAAAGTTTTTTTTAATAATACTATTGCGCTGCCCCTAAATAATTCATGTGCGTGTCTGTATAGTCCAACAAGAACCCAATCAAATTTTGCTGTCAAATCTCATTAAACATCTGAGTCTAGTCTGGTTTGCTGGTTTGCTGCAATATCGTACCTTAAAAGGGCAACTGAGCAACTTGCAAAATGAAAGAGACGGAGAGGATGCGTTTGGTATACGAGTGTGTGGGTGCACGATCCTGTACGATATAAATATAAGAACAGATCTCTTTAATGATGAACACGGGTCTATCAATCGAGTGGTTGATTTTGCTACTTGGAATAGGTTGTGAGGGCCAAGAGTGACAAATGAAATGATGACGGATGGTTTCTAGGGGTCGCCTGAGTGATCCTGGAAGGCTAAAGGAGGTTCCTGAAACAAAGAAAAACAGGTTCCGACGTATCCCTTCCGGCGATCAAGTCAATTTTTTGAGAGAGGGGAAGAAGAAAACACTGTATGATAGTTGAGAGAGGGTTTGTTGCGTACCTCTTTTCTGTGTTTGTGAGGACTATTTATACCTTAAAAACTCATCATTGTTGACAGTGTAGCTAGTAAGTAATCATTGGAGGTAGCCAGTGTGCACACCAATTTCTATGAGTAATGTTCTTATTCTTTACTGCTCGGGACCCCGAGCAACTAATGGTTTCTCCTCGGTCTGCCGAACGTTTAATGATCTTCCCTCGGCTGGGGTGTATTAAATGCCCAGGCTTTGGGACATTTATTACCTTTCACTTCCAAGCTCTCATGCATTAAATGATGTCTCATCAAGTGAATGATGCATTAAATACTTGTTTTTTCAAGTCGTGCGTCAGCAAGGGCATTCTGGTCTTTTTGTCTCTGATCTGACGCAATATGCCACGTGTCCATTCCCCTTTGGTTGAGCCTTCTGCTTTCTTGTGTCTCTGACACCATTTGAGTGGAACGATGTCATGATAGCTAGTCTAGCCTAACCTAGGCTAGTAACACGATAATCAGTAGCCCCTGTAGGAGCAAAAATGCTTCGTAGACAGATATACCTCGGTGCTGAGGGTTCAGCGTCGTTGAGGGCCGATGTACCCAAACTGACCGAGAGATACGTGTCGGTCCATGGTGGTTTGGGGATCCTTGATCCCTGTGAATAGTATCCTCGGGGCAGGGGGTTGAAAACCGACGAAGACGTGTTGGGATCAAAGCGGAGAGTCTTCATTGACGCCGAGTACACGTGTCAGCATCTGGGAGTGTCTGAAAATATCCCATTAATTGTCCCCCAGCCTTCGATCTTTTGACGCCGAGGACACGCGTTGTAAGGAAACGAAGGGTT